TTTTTTTTTGTAAAAAAATCTACATTTGTAAGTTCAGCTTTCATGATAAAGAGATTGCACTACAATACTTGTATGAGGTGAATTGAAAAATACTTTTTTTTGTTTTTTACAGTGCAAATATTTGTAATAATAAATGAATATAAAGTGAGCACTGTACACTTTGTATTCTGTGTTGTAATTGAAATTAATGTATTTGAAAATGTAGTGCTAGAATTAAGTTCTTAAAAATGTATTTGACAAGCAGAGCCTAAGCCAGGGCTGTTCCAGACAAAGGAATGTGGTTCCATCTGCTTGAATGTGTGTCTGATGTAAATTAGGTAAGGTGTGACCAAAGACAAAGAAAAGCACAATTACATACAAGGTAAACAAAGCGATCAGGAGATCAAGTGGGAAAAGATGAATATAATCTCAATGGGGATGGAGAATGTACCCCCAGGAAGCCTTCCTGCCTCTTGACCCACCGTCAATGAACTTTGGGCAGACAGCAGTGTGTCTACACCCCAGCAGGAGAAAGAAATTTGGTCTGGGCTTACTTTTCAAAGAATACATTTCAAAGGTTTACTGGGCTATAAAAACAGGGGTTCTGAATCTCTAATGATAAGCAATTGAATCACCTGATTATATACAATATTACTGTTTTATCAAACTGTATCAAGCAAAGTGACAGGTTTCAGAGTAACAGCCGTGTTAGTCTGTATTCGCAAAAAGAAAAGGAGTACTTGTGGCACCTTAGAGACTAACCAATTTATTTGAGCATGAGCTTTCGTGAGCTACAGCTCACTTCATCGGATGCATACCATGGAAACTGCAGCAGACTTTATATACACACAGAGATCATAAAACAATACCTCCTCCCACCCCACTGTCCTGCTGGTAATAGCTTATCTAAAGTGATCATCAAGTTGGGCCATTTCCAGCACAAATCCAGGTTTTCTCACCCTCCACCCCCCCCCACACAAACTCACTCTCCTGCTGGTAATAGCCCATCCAAAGTGACAACTCTCTACACAATGTGCATGATAATCAAGGTAGGCCATTTCCTGCACAAATCCAGGTCACTTTGGATGAGCTATTACCAGCAGGAGAGTGAGTTTTTGTGTGTATGGGGGTGGGGGAGGTGAGAAAACCTGGATTTGTGCTGGAAATGGCCCACCTTGTTTATCATGCACATTGTAGGGAGAGTGGCACTTTGGATGAGCTATTACCAGCAGGATAGTGAGTTTGTGTGTGTGTTTTTTGGAGGGGGGTGAGGGGGTGAGAGAACCTGGATTTGTGCAGGAAATGGCCCACCTTGATTATCATGCACATTGTGTAGAGAGTTGTCACTTTGGATGGACTATTACCAGCAGGAGAGTGAATTTGTGTGTGTGTGTGGGGGGGGGGGGGGGTGGAGGGTGAGAAAACCTGGATTTGTGCTGGAAATGGCCCAACTTGATGATCACTTTAGATAAGCTATTACCAGCAGGACAGTGGGGTGAGAGGAGGTATTGTTTTATGATCTCTGTGTGTATATAAAGTCTGCTGCAGTTTCCACGGTATGCATCCGATGAAGTGAGCTGTAGCTCATGAAAGCTCATGCTCAAATAAATTGGTTAGTCTCTAAGGTGCCACAAGTACTCCTTTTCTTTTTGTATCAAGCAAACTCTTTTATGAAAGCCTGTGACACACTGGTGATTAATATCATTGTGAAATGTCTGCATTAACACTACGTGAGGAATTATGGATACGCAGTGATATTATGCTTTGAAGTCTGTGACCAAACACAGGGAGAAACAGGTTCTCTCTCAGTCAGGAAGGAAAGCAACTAACAACCGGTCTGAAATATAAATTAAACATTACTGAATCAAAACAATAGAAGCCCATTTACATACAAATCAGTAAGGGATGGGAAGTCAACAGGAAGGGAATAACAGCAGGAAGCCTTCCTGACTCCTATAACATGGTTAATGAAATTTGGGAAATATGAGCAGAAACAGAAAGCTATTTTGGGACCCACAACGTGGGGGATCAAGCGGCCAGAGCTCTTGATTTCAAGGGGGTTGAGGTCTCTGGAAACTAAATACAGGTGAGAAATCTGTTTAAGCAAAGATTGTAATTTGCTTGTTAATTTTTAGTCTTGGAAGCATATTTTCATATTTGTTTGCTTGTAACTATTTCCGTCTTTATTCCTTATATTTGGTATCACTTAATCCCATGTCCTTTTGTTAAATAAACTTCTTTTACTTTTATAATAAACCATATCAGTTCTATAATTGAAATATGCGTGTTTTGTCAAACCACAGTTCAATTAATGAGCTGCAGTGTATCGTCTCTTTAAAGGAGCATCAAATTTAATACTTTCTGTGAGTATTCCAGGAGACAGCTGACCACTGTTCAGAGATGTCTCTGGGGAACTCAGTAGTTGTGGTTTACTGTTTGTTACTTGCAAGGCAAGATTCGGACTGGTAGAGTCCTGAAGAGTTTGCTGGCAAGGCAGACAAGTTACGATGTCAGGGAGTTGTCACACAGCTTAGCAGTAGCAAAACTCTCACTTGGTGAGAATGAGAGGGGTAACACAGTTACTCACAATTCTAGGAACCTGAGCAGATTGTCACATTAGCAGACGGTTTGGAGGAAATTCGGGACTGGGCGGGAGGTGTTGGGGTCACTCTGCAAAAAGTAACTGGGTGGTGAAAACCAGGGTGTGATGTGCATGTTTATAAGCTGGCTGTTGGTGCCAGGGCTGTGAGCCACCGCAGCATAGCAATGAAGGCACCCAGAGTTACAGGGCAGGTGGTAACAACCCTTACTGGTCTAGGTTAAATCCCAAAGCATCAGAACGTCCAACTTAGGGTAATTTAAAAAAAAAAAAAAAAAGCTTCAGCAAAGGTTGTTTAGCTTCTTCCAAGAACTAGGAGACAATACATTGTTTTGCCAGTGTTAAAATATTCTTACAACTCTTTTGTTGTGAAACTCTAGTACCTCCATGTTTCAAACTTGCCATGAGGATTGCTCTGGGGACAGAGAATCCTTTTGCTGTCTTGGTGAAAATCCATTCAGCTTCATTCAAGTTAAAAGCCTTTGAAAACTGCTGTTTGCATGCACTCAGTGGAGGCTTGTTAGAAGCTGGCAGCAAAATTCTGTAAAGATTTGGTCTGCACTGAGCATGAAAGCTCTAATTCATGGCTACAGGGATGGAGAAGGACTTTCCTTATATCGTTCCTCCTGGTTGCTGCAGCTGCTGTGGAATGGAACTGAGCAATGGAATTGAGAGCAGGAAAACCATCTCTTTTGTGTTCTCAATACTCTTGTTTGCTGGCACGCAGGCGACACAAATGCGACCATTTGTTTTCTTGTGCAGATGCACTATGATACCGTCTTTCATCACACGATTACACATTTTTTCCACATGATCCCTGCCTCATTTAGTGCACAGGATGGATTGTGCTCAGGGAACGAATCAGGGTTGTGTAGTGAAAGAGGCTGTTGTCTAAAGGACCCTTCTCTCACTTGTTGCTGAAGTTGGAAGATGTGTAGTGAATGAGGCAGGGGACTGCAGAAAGAGAAAGGATGATCTTGTAGTTGAATGCTATTCTGGAGAACTGGATTCTATTCTAGCCTCTGCTGCAGAGTTCCTATAAGATGCTGCCTGTATAAGTTAAACCAAACTGTTAATAGGTGGCCAGCAACTGTGCTCAGTTTCTAGATACTCTGCCTGAGACAACTGAGATAGTTGGTACTATCTCTATTTTACAAATGAGGAACTGAAGAACAGTGAGGTTAAGTCCAAAATTGTGAGGTGTCCACCAATTTGGGACATCCAACTTGAGGTGTCTAGGGCATGATTTTTTCAGAACACTTAGTATTTGTATAGCATTTTATACATTCAAAGCATAGCTCCAATGAACTTTAGCTGTACTTAGGTAATAGGTCCCACCACTTGGTGTCAGGGTGGGAGATGAGGATGGGGAAATGAAGCGTGTGAAGCACGAGTGTGTACAGTTGTTCCCTCGGCGCAGTTTGAAACTGGATCGGCTGCAAGGCGCGCAGCTGGCTCGGAGTACAAAGGGAAGGAGGACGGGAAGGCTTACAGGGCAGGGGCTTGATGGAAATATCCAGAGGGCCTGGGGTGAGGGGTGGGCGGGGGGTGCCCTCTCGCAGGACCTGTTAGAAGTAGACCCAAGAAGTGCGCAATAAGGCTGCCTCCACCTCCTGAAGTGCGCGCCAGGGAATTTGAAGGGTGGAGAGCTCCAGGCACCAACTCAGCACTATAGGAGAGTGATCTTATTGGGTGATGGGAAGTGTTAAAGGCCCCTCCCCCACTGCTAAAGACCCCTCCCCCAGTCTGGGGAGGAGCTACTGAGCCCAGAACTCAACTAAAGTCGGGGGACAATGAAGAAAAGGGCAGAATCCACTGATGCAGAGAAGGAGCTCTGCCACACCCCGTAACGTCCCCGTTTTTTTAACTGAAGGGGTGTTAATGGGCTTTACCTTGAATAGTCCCTTAGAATGTGTGTTAACTACTTCTGCTAAACAATCTGTTCCATCTTATATTTATCTGTAATGCTCTGAATACCTTTTCCAGACCTGAAGAAGAGCTCTGAATAACTTGAAAGCTTTTCTCTTTCACTAACAAAAGTTGGTCCAGTAAAATATATTACCACACCATCTTGTCTCTCTAACAAAAACTTAAATTTAAGACATTCCTGAAATGCAATCCTCTTGTAAATTAAAAAGAGCTATGATCCACATTAAACATTGATGTATTTATATTTTCAGATTTAATGTGAAGATGAAAACTCTGCAAGTTCACGGTGATCTTAGACACTATTACACCTTAAAATCCTTCACGACCTTTAATTCTTCTGAACAACAAACTAAGTGAATCACATGTTCAATATGTGGTTTGCTTCAAGTGCGCTGCGTTCCAGTTGGCTATCTGTCAGTCAGAAACAGCAAAGACTTCTTATTCAAAACTGAATATATTTCCACAGATACCACAAGCCTGTTTTCACACCTACCTAAATAGGGAATAGTAGGGACCATCTTTAAGCTTCTGATGTACTCCCGTGTCCTCTTATAGTTATCTTCCTTAGACATTAAGTAGTCTAACTTCTCAAAGGTGGTCTTGTCTTTGCGATTTAGAAGCTAAAGAGAAGAGAAAGAAAAACAGTAAATACAAACTCAAGAGATAGTGTCACCCAGAAGACAGAAAAGCATACTTCAAGGAGATTTGGTTAGATTTAAAACAAACAAACCAAAACTAACATAATATTTGAAAGTTTTTTGCACATTAAAATAAAAGTATAGTTTCACTCTTAACTCTGAAGCTGTAGACAGATCTTTATAGTATTATTTATATATATTTTGTCAATCTATCGTCTTTTATATACATTTTTACGTAAATGATAAAATGTTAACCTTAACATCATCTGTGTTAATTTTTTAAGGGTAATATGTAAAATGTTATAATCCAGACATTAACATTCTTTCCTAATTTACAGAATATTATATGCTCTTGATTTTGAAACTTAAAATAACTAATACTGAGAAAGGGCTCTCTCTCTATATGCAAGACACACCATTTCATCAGTGTCTCAAAAAAAGCACATCTATAAATGTTAACAGAGTTGCTAAAACCTTGGAAGAAAAAGTCTTAAAGTCTTAAAATAATTATATTTCTGGATAATCTTACTATTTGCTACATAATCTTGGCAAGTTACACAGAGTACAGCAAAACAGGTCAGAATAAGAGTCTGATGTCCTAAACTATGGAGGCATATATGTGTAATATACTGCATCAAAAATATTCATTCACTTTTAGCTGATTTTATATACCTGGCTAATATTTTTGAAGCCACAATTAAAAAGCCAGTTGGAGCTAGTATTGATGCATAAAAATTATGGTATTGCAGACTACTTAATATTGAGTTCTTACGCTTGAATTTTAGGGTAAGAGAAAGATCTCATGTCACAATGCTCTCTGGACAGCTCCCTCCTAATATTCCAATTCTTGTTCCAGAAAGCTTAATAAAGGACTTTACAACTAATATTTTTACAATGCCAGGAGACTGGTCATAGTGATCAAGATTCCGATCCTGCAATGGATAACACATGAGTGGACTGCTTCACTAAAGCAGGAGAGCACAGTCAAGCCAGAGTGGGGCTCTGTGTGGCTGCAGCAGTCAAACTTGTAGTATCTTATTGCAAGCAGACAGGTTTCAAGATAAACCCTTTATTAAGAACGGAAACTATGTACTGAAATAAGGTAACAAAAATTCCTACTACTCTCTCAATATAACCTGTGACTGCCCTGTTCTAGGTTCCTTTGTTTCCACTCCCAAGCAGAAAGTACCTCACAGACACACCAGACTGCATGGGAAGTGTGGCATCTCTACATTTCTGGAGGAGTTACTCTATAGCCCAAACCTGTGCACTTTAAATTGAAGGATCAAGGCCTAAGCAAGTTAAGAATGGTGCATACACAAGTTGAATATGAATAATGAAAAACTACACCAGTTGTCAGTGAGATAAAAAAAACTGGGGAAAATGGTAAACACAACTGAAAGGCTGCAACAGCTGGAGTTTTCTGAAATCACCTCTTTTCCCTTTTCACATTAAAAGGGATGTGAGTTTTATGAATATTCACTAAAGCTCTGATCCTACATTGCAATTCATGCCTATCAACTGTTGTACAGAGAAACATGGAGTTCTTAGGGCTCTGCGCGGATGCTTCAGTCTCCCTGGAGCAATCAAGACCTAATTCGATCTAGTGCAAAAGCTCACCACTTCCTAGCTGGCAAATTTCACTGATGTAGAAATATGCCAGCATTGTAGAATTTTACCATTTTTGTAGCTGAAATCAATTATAATGAAATTCCTTGCAGAATCTGTTTCTGATTTCACAAAAAATTCAGTGTGAGAACAAAAAACATTTTACTTTTAACAAATGTAGGAAAATAGTGATATGAGTAGTGTTAGCAGTATCAGCAATGGCAATCACAGCAAAGATTGTGATACAACAGCTTTCTAAAACATCAGAAACAACATCTTGTCTAAGGCAAAGGGAAGTTAATTTCTTCTTCCTTAGAGGATCACAATATCCCTTACTGATAGATTTCCGAAATAATGGCTTAACATTTTGCTTTCTAAATTAAACTGGGCATACATCATATATTTCATTTCTTATTTATCTAATGACATTCTGTCATTCATAGATACCTTGAAGGCAAATTTTAATGCACTAGTATATTTCACAAGGATACAAAATGTAAACTCTTAGAAACTTATTTAAGTCTTAGTTCTGCAATCAGTTATGTATGTGCTTAGTTTCAAGGATGTGAGTAGTCCCATTGTTTAAGTTTCCCTGTTTGCACATACTTGGGACCACTCATCACATAAAGTTAAGCTTGTACTTATGTTCTTTACTGGATCAGAGCCTCAATACCAAATCTTCATACCCTAGAAGAAGCATAGGCATTTTTCTTTTAAGCATTTTAATAAAATTATATTTTAATTTTTTGACAGTTTTAACTATATAATCAATTATTTCACAGTTCTGAATAGTTAACAGCTCACCCAGTATGGATCACATTAACTTTGAATGACATGACTCCCTCTTTATTTAATGTTGTGTATCATCTAATCCTGCTATATAAACATTCTGATTTACAGAATAATTTAGCTAAATTTATTTTACATAAAAGGCTAGATTAAATTCTATTTATCCATTTAAGGTACATTTTTATGGAAAATTGTGTCTGCAAGAAAATTTCTGAAGCTGGGGTTGATCAGTATGGGCATATTTCCAAATTACATAAAAACTAGAATATGTTCTACGATATTCTGAGTTACTTATTTCATTTTAAATCAAGAATGTCCATACAATCTTTCAAGATGGTTTAACTAACCTGATTTAAAAGCACACATTAAACTAAACTAGTGTAACTCTGCTTCTCCTGGTCCAGCAACAAGTAAGAAGGAATAGGTGGGGAGGTGTCATGTCAAAATCTGCCATACATCCAAACATACCCGTTTTGTTATTAAGCAGATGTAAACGTCTCTGAACATGACGTACTCTGAAGTGAGTATATGCAGGGTGTGTGCACAGGTGCACTTGGCAACTGAAGTCTCCATGAGGCTCCTGCTTTCATCCAAACTTTGCCCTTAGTTTCAGTGAGTGTTTCACTTTCCCAAGTACACTGAAGCAGCGCTGGGTTCCTGCAATAATATGTGAGATTGAATCTGTTGTAGGAGTTGACCTGCAGGAATGTCCTATAATTCAGATCCCAAGTTCTTTCTCCTACACTGTGATTTATCTTTATCTGAACACTCACTGTATGGCATAAGGGGCAGGGTAATACACAATGAGGTCTACAGAAGGTACATTTTGACTGATATAGGGAACCCATCAAAATGTGCCTTCCTACAGTCTGAAGTGGGCACATCTTGACAGGTATAGGAATCATATCAAAATGTGTCCAAATTCTAGTTTTTATTCTAGCCAAAGGGCACATTTTTATCATTATGGGGAGCCCATCAACGTCTGCCCACAATCTAATTTTACCTCTGGTCTCAAGGAATGCACGCTTGAGGGGCATGAGGCAAACATAAATTTCATGCTTGATTCTAGAAAATATTCACATTAGGGACTCTTTAATCACATAAGACGTACCAGGGAAGCAAACTGGACTTCTTGTGTTAGTGAAAACTGATCAAATAAAAAATGAAAAACAGGATCAGGCCCTTGAATATTATCATTTAACCTGAGGAAACATTCTGTACTATGTTTAAATAGCAATTCACAATGAATCCTCAATTTTAGCAATGTATCTACTGCACACTGGAAAAGCCATGACTACATTACAGATAACGAATAAAGTATTTAAAATAATACTATTTTAAAACTATGTCATTTTTAATTCTAATCTAATATTTTTTTAAGGTCACACGTGTTGGGTGCCGAAGATGAATGCACATCAAGTGCATCCCAGACACTTCAGAAAAGCCAGATTTGGAAAAAAAATATTCAAAATACTCTGAGCCCAATACATTCATCAAGTTATTTTCACTGAAAAAAAAATTACTGACTTAGAACTACTAGCCATCTTCCTGACCCAGTCTGGCCGTTCTTATGTTCCTGGTCTGTTGATTTGATTGTGTCATTCCTCTCTTTGACACTCTCCACTGTGTTTCCATCTGCCATTGCATGAGATTTAAATAATAGCTACCACTTTCAAGATTCTCTATGAATCTGCTCCTGCCGACTTATATTTCCCTGTTGTGCTTCACATGATACCCTGCCCCTTCCACACTGCCACCAATGTTATCCTTTCCTACCCAACGGTCATCTTCTTGAATAATCTCCTCCGTATCTTTTCATGTGGCCTCATATATTCTTCAAAACATGTGCAAGGCCATTACTCTCTCTGCTTTTAGACGGTGTTCCCTACAGTGGATCATGCTGATTTGTACAGTATTTCCCTTTTGTTATTACCCTTTCCTGACCTCTCTGTCTATCCGAAGATTATCAGTTCCTTGGGGTAGAGACCGTCTCGTCTTGCATATCTGGAAAGTGTCCAGCATATCATGGGTACTACAATAAACAAAAGAAACAATAACTTGAGATATTTCTGTTTTGCTACATTTGTCCTAGAGGCTGTGAATGGAACCGTTTACCCAGCTAAATAACTTTGTATGAAAGAATCAGTGTACTCAAAATGGGGGTTCAATCTCTGAGGTTTTTCTTTACAAAAAAAATTAAAAATCAGTGTACTTGCTCCATCCCCTCTTATGGGTACATTCAAGTTTTGTGATTCATACTCTTACATAATCTGAAAGGCAAACATTTGCCACTGAATTTACATGAACCAAAAATCAGGATAGTGGAAGTACTATATTCCTAAGCTCTCCTACAAACCAGAGAGTCTTGATATATGTTTGGACTATTCTATACATCTATAAGAAACAATACAAGAAAAAAACAGTAATTGTGGATTTGACAACCATCCTCACGTGTTAGGACAGAGTCATGCCACAGGATACTACAAACTAAAAGATACGAACAAAACAATGTAGGAAGAAGTAGGATTATTTTAGGATGCAGCAAATTTTTTTTACCTAAAGTAGTAAAGTTTCCTTTTAATAAG